CCGAAACGTCAGTAAGTTTTTTCATCTTTTCACGGTGTATAATTTACCTTTTCATCATTACTGTTTCATTAGAAACACCGACGCAGCTCACACTAATTTCTAGCTAGTTATATCTTCTTATATAAAGTTAGTTGAGTTCACAACTCATATTAAAACAACTGGTGAATAATCTTCTTTTCTTCAGTGCAATCTTCATCATAATTCAGTTTATGACGGTACTAACGAAAAAAGAAAAAGAAAAAAAATTWTTTTTTAGTGTGTATGTATTTCCGTACACGAAATGCCAAACGGCATCAGAACTAAATACAACAGTTGCTGAATCTGAACACCCGGCTTATACTCAGACCGAATGAAAAAAGTCTGAGGGAGGCATCAATATAAGGTATATATTTCCTGGAAAACCTATTATAATTGAGTTTCTTTGATAGACTGTTTATATAAAGCTGTTATTCTTCATTTTTAGCAATGCATTTGATGTGAGATGTTTGAGATACTAATCTTGAACCATACTGCCTCAGTAATATATAATTACTCACAGTGTATCCGTCACACGCAGTGAGCTTGACAAAGCCGTCTTTTTTCTCGGTTCTTTAACTCTTATTTTAATGCTAAAAGGGTGCTGAAATCATGAATGGGAAATAAGACATCTAAACTGATGAAATATTGGAGTCCTATTAAAGATCATCTAAAATATAGTACTTCAAAAAAGTTAATTAAAATGAGAAGAAAGTTCCTAAGTTTAAATCAACTTCACGGGTGCCTTCTGTTCAAAAAAGAAGACTCTTAAAGCATTAAGTACATGCCTTTCGTACTGAAGATATTATATTTTTCTTTTAGGCCACCTTTCAACGACTATAAAATTTAATCATAGTTAATATATATATAATAATAATAATTTATTCTAGTATATTAATTAAGTAAAAAGAGAAAACAGGCAACTTCTAACTGTTCCAAAACAATTGTATTTAACGTTTCGGCCATTCGGTTTTCTTCAGAAAAAATAAAGATATATACAGGATAAAAAGTAAAAAAGTAAAGAATGAATAGCCAAACAACTAGTATATAAAGGGCATAAGAACAAAAGGATGATGTAATCAGTAAATTCAGACGAAAAGCATAGGTCTTTTGTAAAATAATGAAATATAAAGAAAAAGTGAAAAGTGCAGCCCCCATAGGGAATGGAATAACAAGGAAGGTTGCAGCAATCTATTGTAATATAGAAAAAACACTAGAATGAAAACTGAATTCTAAGTTGAGATTTTAATTCTTGTCTCTTGTCGAGGCCATTGGGACGTAACGTACGTAACTACGTGGCCCAATAATAATAATAATTTATATATATTAACCATGATTTAACCAACTGGAACGTGAATTTGAATTTGGTTAGCTTTACATCTGGTTTAGTGCTTTGGGTTAGTTAAACCGTAAAATGGATGCTTATTTACCAGATATAATTCTGGTGACTGAATCTCCTATACCACTTAATTCCAACAATAATTAAGCTTGTATTCTTGAAAAGAATGATATTCAAATGAAACTTGGATGTCAAGCAGTTGGAGTGTTTTTGCTCTACGCCCTGGGGAAGTTAATTGCTTACAATATAACAGTTTTCAGTGTTTTGAAGTACCCCTTAAGAGAATCCATAACATTAGACAGATAACCATCAGGATTTTTCTTCCCATAAGCGGCAAAAACATAAACATAACACTTTTTTTCGTTAATTTTCCGACATTTTCTTGATCTTACAAAACTTCTCACCAAAGAACCATATTCCAAGTCAATTATCCATCGAATACTACTCGAGGTTACTTGCAGATTTTATATTGCCTTTACTGAATTCTAAAAAAAAAGTTGCTTGAACAAAATTTCTACATTTGACTACATTCTAGAAAGCCTTTTTTTTTTTTTTCATTTTACAACAAAAACAACACTGAAACACTTATTATATATATCTCGAAATTTCAATATTTTTGAGTTTGATGTATATATAAATATAAATATATATATTGCCTACCTTTTGATTGGTGTCTTTCAGGCACATATAATAGACATATCCCGAATTCGCTTGACTGACCACGAAACAATGATTTGAAGTCGAGATTGAACTTGATTCTTTTATTCATCAAGTTCAACCTCGACTTGATACCATTGTTTCGTGACCAGTCAAGCGAATTCGGGATAGGTCTATTGTATATTTTTAGGCGCAAGAAGCTTATTGTTTTTAGACTCTATCTGTGCATGCAATTAGTGTTTTAGGCCTCATTCTCATTATATTTCTTATTGTAGCAAGGTGTGAAGAGGAGTGGTGCTACTTATTAATACCCAACAGGAAGTGAATTCCAACTGTGGGCCTGATTTGTGGGCTCTTATCTATAGCAAAAACAATTATAAATTGTGCATAATATTTTCCCCATAAAAGGATATAATCGAACTCACTTTCCTGCTTGATTAAGTTTTTGTGTCTAATGAACTGACAAGATCGATAACAAACTTCATGATCGTTTATTCTACAGCTGTGTGAGCTCTACTGCTTAATTTGAAGCTCACAGTGTGTGTGATATTGTATGTCACTATTTTCATTTCCTTAGTATTTCGTCCGATCCCCTGGAGGAGATGGGAACAATCAAACAGAGCCCTCAAGCTATACTCAGTTTGTTAGCCTATACTGGTATACATTTGTTACAATAAACGTTGTCGGTCCAAGATCTCAAATGGGCGATCTGAGACTAAACATAATTTTTTGTTTTTTGGCTAAGATACAAACAATCATATCTATAACTCAAAGGTCATTCTTAATATTCCAATCTGAAATAAAAGTATGTTGTTTGGTTGTAACATAGTCACAGAACTTTCATCTAATGCATACTAACAGTGCCATTCTTAAGAGACCAGATGACAAAAAATTGTAGGGAAAAGCTCCGTTTGTTCAACAGCTTTATCCAAAATTGATAGCAGTTGAGTAGAGCAGTACTATAAATATAGATATAAAACTAGACGTTTTCAATTCTTCATGATGAACCAATTGAGAATGAAACAAACTATAACAACACACAACAACAATCTAACACAACAAAGCACAACCAAAAGCGAAAAAATAAATAAAAATATAGGAGGAGAAGGAAAAGGACAACAAGAACAACTAGAAAACCAAAAAAAGAAAGAAAAAAAAGAAAAAACAAGCAAGAGAAGAATAAGAAAAACAAGTACGAAAACAAGGAAAGTAAATGCAAARAGAGAGAGAGAGAATTAGAGAAAGAAGAGGAAGAAGTATAACTAAAATTACTTAAATACTGGAAACTTCAACTCACATATTATCGAACCATGAAAAAACAACTTCTGGGATAATCGTCAATATGTCATAGTCCTAGCTTGCTCTTGATTTAAAGCTGAAGAAGAAAACATTGATCAATGAACAAACAAATTTTTATGACTGGTTCTAGAAGGTAATGACATGTGACATCACCTGGATAATTCTCCACGGCTCATCAGACAAATCGTGACAAAAATCCTAAAATAGATATTGCAACATTTATGACTAGACGCTTGAAATTTATCAAGTAAAAAGTGCAACTAGAACAACACAACCGACAAGACTGACAAGAACGACAACGAGAAAATGTGAAGGAGAAAATGAAGAAGAAGAGCAGGAAGGAAAAGTTGAGTAAGAGGAAGAAGAAAACAAAAGAGTGTAGTTTATTATGAGGAAGTAATACAATCATTAATGCATATTATGATTCATTCATTTCTGAATGCATCTTACTACACTGACCATTATCAGTACGTACGTTCATCTAAAACAAGTGTAAGCTCTGAAACTTTATAAAGAAAGCCATCTGAAATATAGGACCAGTTTTGTTCCGGAATATCAGGCAGATGTCATTCATGACTACAAATCTAGAAAACTCCTTTTTTCGCCCACGCTTGCTGCATGAGATAACACAAAACACTACCGAGTCTTTAATGAACTGTAAAAAACATGTCTGGGGTTGGCTGTTCTGTGAATTAGTTTTTTTTAATTAAAAGTCAGTCACTGTTGACATTTGATAGAATTTTTTTTGAGATAAGCCTTTTTTTTTTAATTTTTGATATCAGATTTTATATTGCAAAGTTTCATTAATTCCGCATCTTCCAGTTCCTCCGATCCTTCTCAGCTTGTTGTGTTGCGCGAGCGTTGTCGCTGTCGTCGTCGTCGTTGTTGTTTTTGTTGGCGGTGATGATGATCTTCTTCTTCTTCTTCTTCTTCTTCTTCTTCTTCTTCTTCTTCTTCTTCTTCTTCTTCTTCTTCTTCTTCTTNTCTTCTTCTTCTTCTTCTTCTTCTTCTTCTTCTTGTTTCTCCTCTTCTTCTTGTTCTTGCAATTGTTCTTGTTCTTCCTTATTGTTGTCTTTTCCTGCGAATCTTGGCAGTTCTGTATGAACTCCTAGTACACCTAATACCTTCACTTATTACAGTGCTATATTGATGCCTGTATATACGTATGAAAAGTTATTGAAAATATTGGTTTACTGTGACTTAATGTATATCCTGTATACAACCAGCGTACTCTTCAACTTGTAATTAAAACCTCCTAGGATACTCGAGATCTTTGTAATAATGACTAGGAAATCGGCTTTTTTACTGGCACTTTTATCATTCAAGGTCTGTCTTATCGCCATGGATATTTGAATATTAATCTTGATGGAAAGTATATAGTAATATTTTATCAGTTAACCGTGAATACTTTCGGCTGTCAGGAAGGCCGAACCGGCTAATTCATTTTATCGAGACTCTCAGTGTATTTTTTTTTTTTTTTTTACAGGAAAATATAAAAAGGTATTTTGCTCGTTTTATCCATACCTGAATGAAACATCCACATGAAAACCTCTCCCCTACCGTGACTCGTTCTTTCTTTTTTTTCTTTCTTTTTCTTTATTTCTTTCTAGGACTGATACGATGCTGGGTACCTTATTTATGCTAAATCATTAACTGAAAATCTTTTGCAAAATAAAATTAAATATTTCAAATCAAACTTTCGGACTTATAGTGTCCAAAAACTATGAATAATGTAAATGACTAAGACCTAAGAATAGATCATTGTCCCTGCTCATTCGAAAGCTTATAAACTTCTGGGAGTACCCTCGGATTGTCTTTATTGGCAATGAAATTCTAAGTAAGTCCAATAAGCCAAGATACTTTCCATTTCCTTTTCACACTGGCTTTCTCTGCCTACGATTGCGAGGGTTTTTTTTTTTTTTTTTTTTTTTTTTTTTTTTTTTTTTGGATAGATAGTGCTAGAACAGACGCAAATGAGGTTATTAAGCGAGAAAAATCGTCGAAAACCCGCTCGAGTCAAAATAGGCTAATTTTCGCTGCGATCAAACTCAAAATTAGTCCCATTTTGGTTCACGCTCCTGGAAATTTGTGATACCTCCGAAAAAATCCAAAGGTTAATGTTCAGGTACATACTTAAGTGTTTCCTTAATCGAAAAGCAACCTTTGTTTTTGTTTCAGCATTTAGGTAAAAGCCTACTACAAGCTCAAGATCCGCAAGAAATAATATATGTGATAGTTCCTCAAAACTTCCAACTCTTTTGTCACATATCCCGAAAGGTCATTCTTTAATTTTGTGGTTTTAGTTTTTGGGATGGTTTTGTTTTCTTGAGCTGAGCGCCGATGAGACATCTGCTAAATCCACTGATGTCAAACCCAATTATACACAGGCAACCCAAGCAATAAAAACGAAAAAGTTTATTTTTAAATCGAAGTACTGTGTTCTTCTAATATATTTGCTGCTGAAATTTTCTATATTCGTAGGTACAAAATATTTTATTTTTACTTTTTTCTGAGGTATATAAGTATAATTAGATAGATCTATTATTCTAAAGACGTACCTGGATGAGAAATTATGACATTTATGCTACCTCATGAAATCTACATCTGGTTCTAGAATGTGAGATGTGAAATCACCTTCCAGTTCCATCCTACCTGATACACTGGAACAACCTCTGGGCTGACTTAAGTCAGGGAATGGTTAAGACAGATCAAACGCCGAAATAACCTCTGGCTTCTAAGTCAGGGTTGGCTATCTCCGTCGCAGATTGAACCCTGAAACAACCTCTGGCCGGGGCTGATCTAGGTCTGAACATGGCTAACCGTCCCAGATTGAACCCTGAATCAACCTCTGGGCTAACCTAAGTCAGGCCATGCTTAACGCATAGTTTGAATTGAAATTTAGCTTGTTATGGGTTTTCCCCAGAGAGAGGAGAACTGAAGACCCTTGGAGAAAAGCCGGCCCTAGCGTCTAATAAGGTGAAACAGATGGCCAGAAGGAACATTTCATATTTTTTTTAGATTTCTAGAATTCTCAATTGCGTCAGCCTTGCAATTCTATAACAATGGAAGAAGACAGTAATGTAGTGAGAAAGGGTCATCATCAGGAATCGAACCCTTTTATAGTTGTTTTCCACATTGCGCATTCATACATACTTAATAACTATGTATAAACTATCATCCATAGATCGCAAAAAAGAAGAAGAAAAGAAAAAAGAAAACCCAATTTTTGTTAGATTTGTTATCCAACTGTCCTTCGAATTTCAAAAGTTTCATACTATTTATCGAAGCCTTAAATGACAACCTGTAGAACTGATCAAAGTTAGAGATGGGCTAAATGAAAAATCAAAATGGTATTTAGGGTGATCCTAGAACCGTGTCTCTGAGGGAAGAAAATTAGAAAAAAAATTCGAATCTAGGAAGAGACCCACAAAACTCTATGTGAAGGTGAGACCAGATCAGTTTACACTCATCCATTTGAATAAATTAGATGACAGGTGCTTTGAACCTTTTAAAGTAGGACTGACTGATGCACGTGCGGATTCTTTGGCACGTCACATTATATTGAAAGCCTAGTAGTGAAATTCAGAAATTTGCTTTGAGGAGAAATCCTCCTATTCGTCAATCAGTGAGTTAGCTGTGCTCTGACTTAGATAAGGCTTCGATGAAATTCGAAGGAGTGCGACTCTAATGTTTGCTTTGCTGAATGTAGAATAGACCTAATCCACTGTTTTCCAATTTCAGATCCCGTGCCATTCCCATAAAGTATCATTTTTTTGTTTAACGGTTGCACATACGGAGAAGACACATGAATATGGATACAACTCAAACAAAGAATCTTATTTTCAACTGAATGACGCGAGGTCTGAAAATGGGCAAAACATTACGCCCAGGTGAATTTGGTCCATTGCCCCCGTCCCCCACAAAAAAGTCTATAATTGCCTCAGATATGTGGCTGCGTGCTACTTTGGCAATGCACTTCTTGCCTCGCAGTACTCAAACGTGAATAAAGTTACTTGATGGGGGTCTTTGGTTCGATAGTTCTTATTCGGCTTTATTACGAATTTCAAACAAGCGCTTTTTTCCAGGTCCACTGTAATTGTCACGTCATGCACGGAAAAAAAATCAGTAATCTTGTGAAAGGTTATGCAAATGAGCCTAAATAAAGTACTTAGTCTGTCGCAATTGCAAGAAACTGGCAGCTTGTGATCATTCCCAAGATAATGAAATAACAAGATATGGCCGCCATGTTGGACATATTTCACACATCTTTTGTTATAAATATAAGTTTAAATATCTATGATACAATATTCATTAATATTTTGCAAGAGCATTCCCTTTTTATGCTCCAATCGCACCGAATATATCTTAAAACGGTTGATTTTGATAAGAATGAGGTTTTCCATTCACAAGCCAATGATTACTTGAGTCATACATAATTCGGAAGTGAGTTGTCGTTTATCCAAGTGGGGGAGACAGTTCTAGAGGTAACTATACCAGCTGTATGTCACATTACAGAATATATTGGTTCGTTGGATATAAATTAATGACATTCAGTGCGTGGTTTGCTCGGAATAATCAAATACTAACATTAAGAAATTAAATATAGAATGGATATCGAGTTTTTAGACAGATTAGAAATGATCTTTCTACTCTGGCAGCCATCTTGAATTGGAATTGGAATTGGAATTGGAATTGGAATTGGAATTGGAATTGGAATTNTTGTACCTCAACGAGACTTCGTAAAGACAAGCCTGATGGATTGTACGTTCAAGAGTCTTAAATGCTTTACACTCAATGGACCAAACATAACGACCAACAAATCACAATCTGACAGAACAACAAGTGGAATGAAGCTAGAGTTGATTTCCTTTGGAACGTTGAGAATATCTTCCTATCCTCTTCAGGTCAAAGATGTTTTAGCCAGGGTAATCCCTATAGAAGGTAAGACAACTCAAGATGAATGGACGGACGAACGGACGGAAGGACCATATGGACGGACGGACGGATGAATGAATTGGAATTGGAATTGAAATTGAAATTGGAATTGGAATTGGAATTGGAATTGGAATTGGCAAACTTTATTTATCATAGTTTAACTACAAGGAAAACCCTATTTCTATATATTTCTATATTTCGATTTCTATATATTTCTATATTTTACAAAACAGTCAGGAAAGATAGTCTTAGCAACTTGCTCAGAAACAAACCTTTTTTTTACAACCAAAAGTTAGTTTTATGATCATTTGTATAGACTATCTGAGTCAATTTTAGTTGACAACCAGAATTAAGTTTTATAATCATTTGAATAGAAAATATCTGTGTGTAATGTACTTTCCTGTGATAGACTGCGTGTGGCTGATATATACCGGAGATACGGAGAGGAATATTGGTCTTATACATCGATCGACGTATGGACCATAGTTTATTAGTTTGCTCCTACCAGGTATGCTCTCATGAAAACTACTTCAATCTCGTTCAGATAGTGTGTGCGATGGTCAGAATTTCTCTTTTAAGCTTCTCTTTCTTTAACTTTCGTTCTTGCATTCTTCCTTCCTTCCTTTTTTCCTTCTTTCCTTCCTTTCTTTAATTCGTTATTTCTTCTTGGTTTCATTTCTAATGAATATGCAGGGTGGAAATAACAAAAAAATAGTATAACTCGATCCTTCTAGATCAGTTACTATTTTACCTAAATAGATATCCATCTTGAAAAATGTTATTTGTTGTAGTCACTACTTTGATTTAAAAATCAATCTACATACTATCATCCATACTACATCGCAGGAAATAACAAGCAGTCAATCGAAAAGGTACTGATCCCCGTGTTGCCAACGACCTTTGATTCTTCACTCGTAACGTTGAAGCTCTCGATAGATTTAACACCTCTTCCACCGAAACAAATTATCTCCTCACCCTGAACAACCAGCCCAAAATCATTGCGCGCTTCATTCAACTGGCCGTCTAAAACTTTCCATCCTTTTGTTTTGATGCCTAACACTTCGATGCTTTTTAAGGTATCGGAATTATCTCTCCCTCCTATAACATAGATCGAGTTGTTTAAAGATACGACTCCCAACTGGAAACGCGCGAAGTTCAACGGCTTAAGGGGTGTCCACTTCTCGAGTTTAGTGTTGTAGCACTCGACGGAAAATAGAGCTCCTTTTTCGCCGAAGCCTCCTACTACGTATAGCTTGATCCCGATGCAAACTGCTCCTGATGATAACAACAACAAACTCATGATCAGCTATATATTTTTACTACATAGACATCTATTCACCAGTATTTAGTACCTGGTAACCTGCGACTCTCAGACATACTGGGCAGCTCTGTCCACTTTGAATTCTTAAGACTGAATTTGTATACTTTTTCTCGATGGGATTTTCCTCCCACGACGTAGATGCAGTTCTTACCAGCACAAACTGCTGCGTCATGTGTGTCTATACCTGAAAGTTACAACGAATAATGTAATATTGGTGACATTGGTTCATATATGCCATTGGTTGCATATGGGTGGCATTAAGCATTGGTTGCATATGGATAGCATGGGTGATACGGGTGGCATGGGTATCATTGGTACATTGGTACAAGTGGCTACATATGGGTGGCATGGGTGCCACTGGTTGCATATGGATAGCATGGGTGATACGGATGGCATGGGTAGCATTGGTACATAGGTACCAGTGGCTACATATGGGTGTCAGGGGTGGCATGGGTGGCATGGGTGGCATGGGTGGCATGGGTAGCATTGGTGCATAGATGCCACTGGTTGCATATGGGTAGCATGTAAGACATGAGTAACATTGATGACATGGGTTGCATTGGTGCAAGGGTTGCGTGGTTGGCATTGGTGGTATCCATGTGAAGTTATTATATGAGTAACATGGGTGGCATGCGCTGCTACGGCGCTGTCTATCCCCACTGTCTAGTTCAAGTCTAAGTTCTCAAGTTCGATCGATTCTCGACCGAACCGCATGTGCATGTGAATTCAGTACTTTTTGTTATGTGTTTGTTGTTCTCTCCCTTGCCTCGAGGGTTTTTCTTTGCGTACTCCGGTTTTAATTTCATTCCTTAGTGTAAATTCAATATATGAATTTTGTGTTACAAATGCATGAACGTATGGTGAAGGTGTTTATTGATCGATCTGGAAAGCCTCATGGAAGAGCTGCTAACGTTGAATGATAATTGAATAATATTATAAAGGAAATTTCCATGGCAAATACGATGCTTTCCTGCATTTTGATGGACTTTCGTTAATGATGTTCTAAAATGAACAGATGGGCAACTTACCTGGCCCAACACCCAACCAGCACAAGCCAACTGGATCGTACTTCTCGACTCGTTTTTCATATACTGCATGTATATCATCACCAACTATTACTGTACAGCGATGTTCACCATCTCCATCATCAACGGGCACCATAGGGTAACAGGGAATGCATGTACCGTGCACTGGATCAAACCGCTCTGCTATGCTGTCTCTTCTACTTAGTACATAAATCGATTCTTGCGGTTTTCTTGGGCGGGATGGCTTGGTGGGGTCCCTGTGGTGGTCCATTGCCTTCTCTACGAATTCTGAGCAGAGGTTTTCTTTTTCTACTAGGTCTGGGATAACTTGACGGACTAATAAATTTTCTGGTATCTGACAAAATCGGACTTCCTGAAAAACTCTTTCTGCAGACTCTCGTCTGGAAAAGGAAGCAAAAGTTGAGATTGATAGCCTGAATGCATGGGTAGAATTAAAAATGATGGATGGATGGATGGATGGATGGATGGATGGATGGATGGATGGATGGATGGATGGATGGATGGATTGTCTAGCCACATCAGTCATGCACTCATATAATTAGATACAATAATGTAGACATTTTCAATATACGTTTCCACTGACCTGTTATCGCGATCGTGCATGTACCATTTATAAACAGCTTCATAAACAATCTCTTCGCCTTTAACTCTCAGATTCTCACTTTTGAGTATTTCTCTTAACTGTTCCGCCTCCAGTGAGAGGAATGCTTTGCGTCTGGCGATCTCCTCGAAGTTCCACTCCACAAATCTGTCGATTTTTTCTTTCATATCAGCAAGGTTGTGTCTCCTGGAAACACCTTGTAGCCGAAGGCAGTTTGAAATACTTATGCTTGCGACGACCGATTCGATCACTGCTTGTAAAGCTTCTTCGTTCTGGATGAGAAAAACAGAAAATTATATAAGTGTAGTTTCAAAACATTTGGAAGTCCAATGGAAAATAAACGAAAGAAATTAAGAAAGATCATAGACATAAAACTCATAAAATTTAATTTTAAAGTTAGTGTTAGCTTGTTTCTAAAGGCTGGCTATGGTTGGCAGGTTTCCTCTTCACTGGTAACATGCAAAGTCTCCCTTGTTCTCTGCCAAGTATCGCCAACGAGGAAGACTCTGCTAGCAGGAAAGGTTTTCACTGGCGTTTGAATCGATATCGGAGTCAGAAGCAGTTCATGCTTGACTGTTTGTAAGTGAAAACTGCCCATTACGAGCATGCTAAGCCAAAAGGAAACCTTTCCATCTTTCCAATTACGGTTCCGATCCCGATTCCACGAAGCCTCGTTATAGGATCTTATGATGCGTTCCGAGGTTAATGTTAGGGGACAAGATAGACGTCATCTTGGAAACAGGTCCACATTCCCACAATGCCAACTCCATCCAGTTTTTTCCTCACTTTCGGAACGTAAATTCAATTGTGCTGTTGTGCACTATATTTTTCATTGATAACTTTTTGATCATTGCGTGAGCATCGGACTCTCGTGCGGGAGATCGTGGTTCGAGTCCCRGCCGGACCAACACTCAGGGTCTTAAAATAACACACTCATCATTACTAACCAAAATCGGAGGGACGTAAAAGAACCACTGAGGACGTAAAGAAACCCTGGCAGTGACCACCCTCAGTGCCTACACTTCACACTAACCATCTCTCATGCTTGTAAATTTCATAAAAAGCAATCTGTCATTTACAACTCAACGCAAAGCGCCTTTTGATTATATCCACATAGAAAGGGCGCTATATAAAATCATAAATCATCATCATATCAGTTGTTGTCGTTCATCGTGTCATGTCGTGTCKTGTCGGATCGACCTCACAGTGTGTCCGGTACGGCATAAGCAAATCATATAACCCGTACGCTCTTTCGGAATTATTCTAAAAAATATATACCTTTAACCTTTAAAGTACTT